AAGGTGGGTTTAAGGAAAGCAAGTTTATCAGACCACCACAAATGGATCTCAGAGCTCACACCTGGCTGCTGAAAGATGCTGCTGCTTTGCTGAGATGCAGCAACTGACAGCCCATCTGTTCTTGCTTTCTCACAAACCAACCAGCTGACCTCCATGAAGGGTCTAGGCAATCCTGCTTTATTTGCATCTGCACAAGGTGAGGGACATTAGTTCACAGAGTCAGTAGGTGCCTCTCAGCTGAGGGGAAGAAATTAAGACACCAAACCACCACTGGACATAGCTGGATCATAACTTTAATCTCTTTACTCCACAGCTGCAAGCTATATACAAAGCAAGTGCACAGGTGAAAAGTATGAAATTCTGAAGAATAATAACTGATACATACGTATCTTAATCCTTAAGACGCAAAAAGCTGCCCAAGCCTTGAAGGCAGCAAATATATCCCCATAATGAAGTTCAAGCATCCTCCTCGTTACGGAGTCAGTCACAAGTCACGCACAATGTGAAAGGAACCTTTGTGGACAGTCTAAGTCCAGTAAGACGTGGAGCACTCTTGCAAGGAATCTTAAAAATGAAATCTATGTGGAAAATGAACAACTGAGACTAGGCACAAACACCTATTAAATATTCTTTGGTAATTCACTGACCTTGGACTAACACCAGCAGCACTGTTGAGTGAACCAAACAAATGCGCTCACTTCTTTACTGCAACCCAGAAAGCACCTGAGGAGAGCACTAGCAGTTCTTTGTGGCAGACTTGACTGTACAAGGGAGAAAGCTGCAGGAATTACCAGGAATAAGGTGTTTGACGAAGAGGGTGAGCACTGACTGCCCTCATTGCTAGGCTCACGCCAACACTGAAGTAGCTTCTATTTCCTTAGGAGTGTCCATCACAGAACACCCAATTGCTACTGAGGGATTGCCATCCAGTACTTGCAACCTTGGTATTACCAAACCCTTAATTAAGTCACTATTTTAATTCCCTGTGATTATGAATACTGAAAATGCAATACCCAAAGATATCCAAACTAACATGGTAGTCCACTTGAAAAGAACCAAGTGTTAAAATTAACTGCTTCCTGCATGCACCAGTAGCACAAGAGATCCCCCATGACTGAAAGTCAACAGCAGCAAGAAAAGTCTGAATGTCTGTGTAATGGTTTGAAACCTGCTGCTCCTGGTGGGTGAAGATCTGAAATCTAAAACCAGGAGCAAGCCTGAATGAAAGGGGAAAGGGGCGTAGACCTGTTCTATTCCCACTCCCCTCTTCCTGTCTTCAGGACTTCCTGCTGGGGTCTATAAATGGGGAGAGAAGACACGCCTTTCCCCTCTTCTCTTTCTCTTCTCCTCTCTGCTGGGGTCCTGGCCGGGCACACACTGCTCTGCTGCTGCTTTGTGGTTCCCTGTGCTGCACGTGGCCGTGGCCATCTTGGGACCTGGGCCTGATCTACAGACTCATTCCCTGCCTCTATCCACATCCAAGGATTGTGCATCCAGCTTCAATCCACCTCAATCCAGCGAGATCCAGCACTGGGGAGCCTCAGCACAGCACTTGGGTTTTGTATTTTTGGAAGTTTAATCTTCCTTGCTTTGTTGTTACTATAATCCCTTTACCCTGTTAAGCCCCTACCCTTCTTCCTTTCTGTTCCCTGTTAAATAATATATTTCATTTTGTTATCTTTTCAGTCGGTGCAGAGCTTTCATTACCCTGACTTCGTTTACCTCTCTACCTGGGAGAACTAAGGGATAAGGGAGGTGGGACACAATTCTGCCTTCTAACCAGGAGAGTCTGTTATTACTAAAGCTCTTTTCTCTCCTTCAAGTGCCTAACTTGAGGCAAACCAGTGTCTATTCCCCCACCAGGAACAGACTGTTACTGTGTAAAATGTGCAAGGTCAATGCCCAGTTCTACAGTCTGAGCCAGCCTACAAGGTCAACGCAGTTGAAAATAAAGCAAATTCAACATCTCAGCCATGGCTTGACGAAACACCAGCAAGCCCACTGCTGCTCAGAGGTCACCTCTGTAAGTATAGTATTGCTACAGTGAAGACTGAGGATTTGGGGTGGAGGTGGCAACCTAAACAGATCATTCTGGAAGGCAGGGCAGAGCAAACAAGGGAAGCGATTAAGAAAAATTGGAAGACACAGTCTGAGAATGTGCATGCCTCTGGGTTTCAGCAGAGCAGAATGAGATGTTCAAGAAGCTGCTGAAGTGTTGTCAGACTGAATTCCACCCATAGGAAAGGTCTATCTACTATCTGAACAACAGGGTGCACCGAACTCACCTCCGTGCAGAGCCTGGAAATTCCCCTGCTGTACAGCCACTCCTGCACTTCAGTGAGAAGCCCCTGCATTTCTTACCATGATCCTGGATTTCAGTTCCAATATCTAATCCAACAGGGCAACAAACCCAAGAAAACCTGTAATTTTTGCCTCCTCCTCCTATCACTTACATTTGGACAGCTGGCATAGCATCATCTTTCCCTGTCTCAATTTTTAACACTGACTGGACCAAAAGTAACGTGAGACCAACCTCAATATTCAGAAACTTAACATCTGTATCACTGCAAGCATTTAAAACCACTGAAACAGGTTAGAAATTAAAGTTCTCTCTGACCCAACTTGTTTGCACGTTTGCAGCACTACCTAGTTTGTTTCCAGTTTTTTGGGGGGGATTTTCACAAAGCAACAAGGATGGCTCCCTCCCCATGAGATGTTATCATTGCAAGAAAGCACTCTGAAAGCAGAACATACAAAAGGATGTGAAACTTAAGAAACTTTACATCATTTGCCAGATTCTTCTGAGAATTTCTCCTATGTAGGAAAAAAAAAACAGAAGGAAAGGGTCACTCGCACTACCAGGCCTTAGGACCACACGCTGAGGAACCTGGGAAGATGAGATTCAGCAGAGGGGGACACTTCCCAGGGGTGCCTCTTTCAGTAACACAGAGACTCTAGTGACTCTCCAGAAAGATCAGCCTCTATGTCTGGTGTCTAAACTCAGTCCATAACAAATAACACTTTGCTCCCTCACTCAGACCAGGAATATGATTCAGTTCATAGATCAACATCAGGACTAGGATTTCCAGACCAGGAATTTTTCTTTGGCACTGGTGACACTAAACATCTAACTAGAAACTGTCATTTCAGCAGAACTGGAGAACACTCAAGGACACTCAGTGTCTGGTTTCTTTAGGGAAAAAAAAAAAAAAAAAGGCACCACCTCAAACCAAGCCCATATTAAAGAAAAAAAAAAAAAATAAGCAGAGCATATTCCCTGTGACAGAGGGATCTTACACAGTGGCAGGGGTAATCCTAGAATATCTTACACAGGGGCAGGAGAAACCCAAAAAATACTTCCCCTGCCATACTTCACCAAGACTTGTTTTTCTTTGTGTACCTCCACTTTTCAATCCCCCAAAATAACTAAAGCAGTATGTTGCCATCACAGAACGACACAGGCACTATTACAACACCTTTAGAAAAGAATGAAAAACTAAAATTTGAGAGCTCCTTTGTTACCCCCACAGTACAAAATTTGCCTCTTTCAGAGAAAAGCCTGAACAGCCATACGCAGCACCCTGAACTAAATCATTTTAAGCAACCAACCCACACAGGAAGTAGAATTACAAAATGCCACAAGATCTGTTTGTAAGCACCCATGACAGAGCTCAGAGCAAATAAATTACAGTTCTGGGACAGGTGCACCTCTGGGAGAGCTCTCCTCTTGCCCGGATTTCCACCAGATGGGAAGGAACTGCATTCCTTGCAAAATTTCCATCCAAGTCTCCACTACCAACTGGAAATTAAGTCTGAGGCTCACTGCTCGGCATTAATGAAGATAACTGAGCAAAAAGACAAGAGGGACTACAGCTGCTCTGCAGTGGGGCTGTGATCTCCAGCACAGACAGGCAAACAAAGCATGTCCCAGCCTTGACTTCCCAGCTTCAGCCAGCTGTCCATCTGGCACCAGAACAGCGTGGTGCAGGCACACTTTGCTCCACTGGTGACAGTGGCAGGGGAAAGAGGTACCAGTAACAAGCTGAGAGTTATGAGACTAGGAGGAGCACCATGGAGTCCTGCATTTTAGCTGAGTATTGGGTAAGACCACCACCGTGCAATGCACACGTTTCACAGGTGGACCTGAAGGGCATTGGACCTATTCTCCCCACTCAGCCCCACATGAAGTTCAAGGGTGTCTGAACGCAGAAGGCAGCAGCGGATCTGGGGAAAGACTGAGCCTCTCCTAGAGCAAGCAGGATGACAGCAGATGCTAGTGCAATGTGAGCTAACAGCAAGTTAACTTGCCACATGGAAAGCTTCTAGCCTACGTTAAGTTCAAGATGCACTCTTTAACCTTTGCAAAAAAACCCCAACTTTATTCCATTATTAAACTTATTAAAGGAGATAGCCAATAAGAAAAGCTCAAATGGGAAAAGTTTCCACAACCTGGGGCAAAAGGGGTCCTGTATTTTAGGCAGTTTATGATGAACCCAAGGGCTGTGGCAACAGCATACTCAAAGGACTGTGGCTCATCTGGAAGAGTGATACATTTAGTTCATTTTTTAATGACAAGAACATTCATGACCCTTTCCTCATTTCCTCCCAGCAACTCTGCAGGCTGTCATTGTAATATCCCTCCCAAATAAGCACACTGCCGACCAGCCTGTGCAGACTTTACCTGGGCGAGCTGATACCTAGGGCAGGCAGAGCAGGAACAGAATTTTGCTCCTGCCATTGCTGAAAACCACAACTGAAATACAAATTCACTTTTAAGAACTTCTGCAGTTTGGGCTTGATGGGCAATACCCATGGAGAATCCACCCCTGGGCTCCAGTGAGTGTAGCTTGAAATTACTGTAATCCTCTATGTATAAACAGTGCCATTAGACTTGTACTTTTAAAAAATAAAGTCAACCCAGGCCAGAGCCAGGCTCTGAAGATAAAAGCAGTAGCTTATCTCTTATAAATATTTTCAATTATTAATATTTTTTACTTAGAAGTAGTCCTCACTCCAGGTAATGTAACTGACAAAGTACCTGCACACATGCAGCCCCTAGACTTTCACAGAAAGCCTAAGAGCAACCACTCCAGAAGAAAGAAATCCTACCTCACAGCAAAGTAGGGGAGGGGGCACAAGGCCAAGACAGCCTAAATCTGGGGGAAGGGTCATTTGGAGTAAGTACAATAAAAAGGGATTTCAAAAACTCTTCATAAAAAGGATCAAGGAAGTTAAAGCAAAAAATTGGTTAAAAAGATGTACAAAACTGTTGGAGACCAACAGAAAACTCTGCCAAAAGATAGCTTGCATTTAAATCAGAAATCAATGGCATCACACAATTCCGTTGTTAAAAAAAGGAAAATAAAAGTGTAAAACTGTGTAAAGAACAGCATTTATAAAGAGTTATCATTAGCTCCAGAGACCAGCGTAATTCCCGTGAAGTCCTGATGGAAGGGGGCCTCCTGCCACAAAGAGTTTCGTTCCAGACGAGTCGTAGCAGTGGGTGTAAACAGCGTTTGGGAAGAAATCTATGTCAGAAAAATAATTCCTCCAGGTGTCATCATGATTCTGTTAAAGGAAAGTTCAGACTGTTATTGTTGCCAAAATAACCTAAAACCTTGTTTCACAAAAGCAGAAGGTAGCTTCAAGAGCCTAAAAAGGGGTCTTTTCTGTTAGTAACTCCCTGAAGCTTCAGACAGAACAACTTGAAGAGACCAGAGTTGTCCTGAAGCTTTTTCTGAGGACATTTAGGGCCAAACATTGGAGCAGGGAAGACATCAAGTTTCATTACTTTCTGAAGTTACATCACAGTGATACATACTAAAGATAATGCGAAGAAATTAGAGGAAGCCATTAACTGCTTTCTGATAACATACAGGAACTTGAACTCCAATGCTTGCCATGGCATTACCTCAGGAAGCCAGTTTCTAAAACTGCATCCAATTAAATCTCTCTTGGAGCATCACACTAGAGGAGCATGGTTTTAGAGGGAGACATGGTATCTTGTGTTTGAGGTTCTGAAAACTAGAAGTTAGATTACATTCAAAAATATACCAAGGTTCTGCCCTAGTGAGGCCACCTTTGGAGTAGTGTGTCCAGTGCCAGGCTCCCTAGTTCAAGACACACAGTGACTAAGTGGAGAGAACCCAGTAAAGGGCCATGAGGATGCTGAGGGGGTTGAATTACCTCACTTACAAGGAGGGACTGAGAGGCCTGGGGCTGTTTAGCCTGAAGATGACAGAGGGGATTTTATCAATGCTAATAAATGTCTGAAGGGTGGGTGTTGAGAGGATGAGCCCAGACCCTTTTCAGTGGTGCCCAGCGACAGGACAAATGGCAATGGGCAAGGACTGGAACACAGGAAGTTCCATCTGTACCTAAGGACAAATTTCTTTACCATGAGAGTAATGGAGGCCTGGAACAGACAATGCATAGAGGCTGAGGAGTCTGCTCCTCTGGAGACTTTCCAAACCTGCTTGGACTTGTTCCTGTCACCTGCTCGGACTTGTTCCTGTCACCTGCTCTAGGTGAACCCGCTTTAGCAGAAGGATTGGACTAGATTATCTCTAGAGGTACTTTCTAACCCCTACACCATTCTGTGATTCTGCGTAAAGATATAAAATCTAGTCCGTTTACGAACCGGTGCATACAGACAGTAGTCAGTGTGCCTTACACTCAAGCAACCCACCTTCAACACCCTTTCAGAAAGCTTTTGTAGAAAGCAACGCTGCAGCACTGCTTGCTTTTCATGATTACAGTTATTGGTTGCATGATCACTGTTTTGCTGGGACAAATTTCATACAATAGCTCCCATCACTATAAACAGAACTGATTCTCAAGCCCTGTGGCACTCCCACGTAGAGCTTCCTGCAGCCTCAAGCTACTCACCAGCCAGCCTTTCCCAGTAGTCAACTTCAAAATATCAGTTTCTCGCAATTTCAGCTTCTGTCCGTAGCAGGCACGTGGGGGCTTCTCTTCCAGGAACCTCTGGGCTCTGATATCGTAGAACAACAAGGAACCTTGCCCCGTTCCCACTGTGATGATGTGCTCGTAGAAGCTCACGGATCGAACGCCTGTCGAACAGAGAGGGGACACATGATGCAGTAAGGTGCAAGATTTGGCTCTGCAGTGCTGCTTCTTGATGTCTAACATCTTCTTTAACAGGAGCTACATCCTAGTGTACTCCACAACACAAATGGCCCCACGTCTCAGGCAGAGCAGACAAATCTCACGGATGCTACTGAAACAGCAGCTTCAATTGCAGATACCACTTCCCTTCCCCTCCAAGGCCACCAGCTACACTGACAGTGCACGGCAAGAAGCTTCACTCTCAGTAGGCCCCAACTCTGCCACAGAAGCAAAGGTCATAAGCCATTCAGCATCAAGAGCAGTTTTGTTCTGTCTGCCACAGAACAGGTCTGGCAAACGAACGCAGAAAGCTTTAAGCCCTGCAATCAGTAAGAAAGTCCCCCTGATAAGAGGAGAAAGGCACAAGATGGGACCTCCTCTTATCTTTGCTCCAAAAGTGCTCTTAACAAGCAAACCAGTGAACACTTAGTTAACAGGAACAGGTGATGGAGTGTGGTAGCAGATGGCATACACTTTTCAATACAACTTATTAATAAAAGCTACAAAACGCACAATGACTGGGTCTTTCTCTAATAAAGAAAAGTTAACTGAAGGAATCTGTGATGCAGTCATTACTACTCAGAGGACGTTTAGAACATGCTTTCAAGAACATCACTTCAAATTGGCTCCTAGGGGGCTCAAGTACCTCAGATTAATCATACCCACCAAACTAAAAGCACAGCCTGTGTCTAGAACCAATCACAGCAACTCTCAAACATAGCCAGAACTGTAAACCACTTGTAGACTTGGATTATTTGGGTCAGCAAAGCCAAGTCTCATTCCTGAGAGGCAGAGAGGCTCAACAAGTCCCAGAAGGAAATGAAGATGCAGTAGCGTGTCCTATGCAAGGAGCAGACACATAGTCCATGCTATGCAGGCTCTGTCCACCACACTAACTTTTCTGCCTTCGGGATATAAAGTCAAGAGCATGCAACATTGTTCTGAATGCCAGTCAAGCAGAAAGCACTTGCTCTTGCAGATCAGGAAAACGAGAGTCCAGGGCCTGCACTTCCCAGTATACCTCCTAAGAAACGTAACACTGACAGGATGCACTGAAAAGCACTAGGTACCTTCTCACGTAGAGCACACAGGGTTACACTGAGTGAAAACCAGGCCCCATTCCAGTCTTACCAAGCAACCAGTTCTCTCTGACCCCCTTCTGCATACAACACTAGTGATCTGAAGTTCATTGGACTTAGGTGATCAGCAGGTGCATTTGAATCTGACAGCACATTCAGGTAACACTTCAAAGTGGTTAAAAGCAAGCCCAGATTTTAGTCTGCAAATCAACAGAGAACCTGCTTTCTAGAGATGCTGCACTGCTCCAAGTCCCAGTGAGATCAACAAAGTTGAAACTCTTGGTATCTTGGGAAATTAATATTACTTCAGTACCTGCACCACCATGCCAAAAAAGGAAAAAGATTTACCTACCATGCAGAACAAAAACCAGCACTGAACAAAGGCTTTCTCCAGACACAAGCTGGAAGTGCCCCAGAGATACCACCTGCACATAAGGCACCTGCCCAGCAGGACAATCACATACTCAAGGGAGAAGCTTCCAGCCACCAGTGGGCACCACACTCCAGTGATAATTCTTCCCTATGACACTGAGGGGAAACAGTGTCAGGATTTCCACAGAGCTCTCACTGACAGCAGGTCAGGACAAGGGCTCTTGCTGGTAAGATGTTGAGGGAACAGGAGCTGGTGAAGCACCCTCTCATACTATAGAAACTCCTCCCGTGTCTGAAAGAAGCAGGCGCTGACATTTATCTAGACAGTGTTGTCATATGAAAGGGTTAACAGCCACACAAGCTTCCAGGTGGACCTGTGTAGGTGACTGCAGCTAGAGTGAGGGGGGACCATTAGACATTGGCTCCAAACTAAGGGTGAAGGGAAGAGAATGGTAAACTTCTGCTTTTGTAATTAAAGCTAAGAGTGAGGAATGCCTAATCAAATAATTTACTTTACTGCAGTTTCCTCTCTGTTGTAAACTGTATAAAACCCTACAGCTCCTCTGAAGGGGTGCGCTAGCTTTGCAGTCTATCACCTTGCACCCTTTTCTGGCCAGAACTGGAATAAAAAAAAAGTGTCTTGATTCTATGTGTCAACCAGTTTTTGCACACTGTGTAAAGAATCCAGATGTGGGACAACAGCAGCACTATTCAAACCCCAGTAACCGCAGAAGTAAAACTTTCCTAATCCTTGCCTACATGCTTTCTCTTCTGCTGAGTTGCCCAGTGAAGGGACAGATGTCAAGAGCTGAGTTAAGTAAGGAGAGCAGTTCATTAGTCTGGGATTAGTAGGGTTTAAAGGGGGCATCACAGCACAATGCCTTCTCAGGCCTGAAAATAAAGGCTATGGGAAGCCTTAAGGGACCATGCACCCTGCAAGCCCTCAGGCTTTGCCCTGGTGTAAGGTTCAGCTGCATGTATTGCATCCACATCAGAAAAGTAAAACGGCACTCAAAAATCTGCAAGTGTTCTTAAAGAGTGAATTTTGGTAAATGTAAAGCAAATAAACGCACATCCAAAATTAAGAGTCTCACTCATGGCTTTAAAATTACAAAGCAAGCATTCACAGAGAACACAGACTCCCAGTATGATAGCACAGAACAGACAACATGATATTTTTACATTCCCAGAGAAAAATCCAATAGACAGTATTAACATTGGTATGAAGATTGGCTTTGCTTTGAGATGAAGTGAAACAGAGTAAGACACATTAAAAAATAAGTAAAATACACTGAACTTTTAAACGTGCGCATTTGGATGGTGCATTTAGTTGATCATAAAAGCACTAATGTTGCCTGTCATTAGATTTCAGAGTTGCTTTCATGTTTGGTGTGTTGGTTGCTCAAGGAATACTGTCATAAAAGCAAATCCTACATATACTACTAGTGATTTGGCCTATCCCATGAAAACCCTTCTTGTTTATGAAAAGCTTATTTTACTGTGGTCTTAATAGCTCCTTCTGCAAGCCAACTGTTTGAAGCACACTTTGGTGAGTTTCTTACCACTGCCTCGCTCTCTGGAACAGACGGATTTCACGTTGTGAGAAGGCTGCCTGGGATCCAGAAAGGAGACGTGTGCCTGCGATCCTACTGCATACACTGACCACTCCTGACCATAAGCCAAACACCCGTGCCCCCTGCAGTATGGCAACTTCGTGGAAAGTAACTGGAGGCAGAAGGAAAAAAAAAAAAAAAAAAAAAATCAGGCCATTATGATAAAAGAGCAAGATGTTAATAGAACAATTTTGTAAGCTATGTTCAAGGAAGCTGCAGTGAAAAGAACAAAATGGAGCCAACAGTTAAGCTCACCACAAAAAAATTGGCAGCAATCTGACCCAGAGATAAAAAGCCTGAAGGAGATGCGATGCCTTATCTGAACCAAACTGAGACTTACAAAGGCTGAAGCCAAGCATTACGCAAAGAACAATGGGTATTTCAGCAAATTGTTTTACACTTTTCTAAGCTGACTTTGCCTCTTCAGCAAGTGCACAAAGACATCAGCTCTCAGCTGAAAAAGCTTACTGCATACACTAGCACAGATACGTCTGGGTTTCATCTGCAGATATATATGAAGAAGTAACTTCCTTTATGAACTTTGCTCATCAAGTATCCATCATACTCTACACAGCAGTTCACTGCAGCTAACCCAGAACTGGCAGCACACTAAGAACACCTCCCACTTACGAAATAAAGGGGGCACGGAGTTTTTCTCCACAAGTTCTAACTTTTAGGACATTTCATTTTACATAAAAGCTTTTAAGTGTTTTACAAACACTGCTGCTCTTTCTCCAAGCACCTAAAGGAGATGAAGAGTAGCGAGCAGCACTAACTGCTAGGCAGTGTTTGAAACCTAACACCAACAAAGAGAAAAGCACCTTTGATAGCGTGTGCTCCGCTTTCCAAAGATGAAAATAGCCATCTAAGGACACAGCTCCCAGCTCCTATTTAAAAAAAACAAAAGAGTTACTCTCAGTATTATAGATGTCCTTAAAAACTCACACTCTCAACCAGGCAGGCTGCATACTCTGGATTGAACTCATCCATAATCCTGTACATGCTTATCAAGATAAATTTTCATTTTATAGTCATCTTCACAGAAAACAATATAGTACAAAGGTGTCAGGTAGAATAAGAATTAGTAAGACAGTAAATAACCAAATGTAACTTTCAAAAGTATAGATCTTGCTAGACAAATAATGAATTATTAGACAGTACAAGCTGGAATTGACAATTCTCTTCAGCAGCTCTTACACCAATTCTGACCCTGAAGCAAAGATTTCTTTCCAGGCACTACTCTAACTGAAAAAGCTCTATTAAGTCTCCATCACAAAGCAGTAATTAACAGTTACAGTGAGAAATAAAGCCCACAGGAGCACAGTGCTTCTGAGAGCACACCCACCTTTGCTTCAGACCTTCTCTGCTCTTTGAGGGTGGAAAGAAAAGTACTGGAGGATGAATTGCTACTCCCACTAGTAACAACAAGAGATTAGCACAAGGGAGGTTAATATTCACTGTTTGTCAAATTCCAACAAAATAACACTGAAGTCAGTCACCCCACTTGCTGAGCAATCCAGTAATGAGTCAGCCATCAAAACAGGAACTGCCTGAATGCTAGCTGGTCTTCACAAAACAGGAAGAAGAGCAGCAAGAGCACTCAGGAGTGGGATTCAAACTGGAAGAGGTGCTCTGGTGCTTTATCTGCTTCTTGTAAACATCCCCTGTCTCCCTCACTTAGGATGCAGGTCTAAAAATCAAACTCCCAGGACACTGTTCCTTCTGAAAACTTTTCCTACTGGACTTCCCTTGGGGCAGAAGCAGACACAGCAGATGAAAACTTCCATCTCACATGACAAGGATGCAAAAGGACCAGGAAAAAAAAAAAAAATCAAGTTTTTCTTTTTTCTAATACAAACTGACAGTTTTAGGACTTCTCAATTCTCTTGTTTAACTTACTGACCTTGTTCTTACTGTTGAAAGCCAACGCTCGGACTTTGCAGTTGTCAGGATTGGTGTCCTCCTTGGGGATATCCTTCAGAGCCCTGTGTGTTATGTGGGCATAGACAGGAACTTGAGAGAGATTATGCCTGGCATCGCTTTTGGACAGTACGTCCTCTGTGACTTCCCAGAGACCCATCGAACCATCCCGTGACCCTGAATAAACAGTCCACAAACAAACAGTTAATACCACACATACACAACTCCACTTTTTAAAAAAGAAATAAACAATAGGGTCTGAAAGAAAGAAAGAATACTAACTAAAGACATTGTTGGGACCTATATACTAATAATTATTTTTTTAAAAATGCTATTCTACTGCGCTGTGAAGTTCCTAACATTGTGAACTCATTCTCAACCGGTTTGTCTACATGGTTCCAAAGCAGCCAGACCATCTCATCTGTTTTCAAACTGATTAGGATGGATCAAAAAACACAATACAACCACAAGCATTAGATATTGACACATAGAATAAACTCTGAGGTGACTCAATAGCCTAACTCACCAAGGCTGAGACTGACAGTCTGTTAAGCCAACACCGAAACCTCCACAAAAACTCAGTTTGGTTTAGACCAGTTTGGGTTCAGGCCAGTTTGGGTTAATTTGATTTCTACCAGTATGCTTCTGTATATATGTACATATATTTGTGAACTGAACAGAACAGATATTTTAAACCACAATTTGTACCAGTTTGGATTAAACCCTAAAACCTGTGCAATTTCACCTTTAAAGAATGTAGGATACGAACTGAGTTTAAGCAACCAAGAACTCATTTTATTTTTCTACTGGAAGACTTTATTCCAAGATGCTCATCACTAAGAATAACAATACTGGATGAAGCAAACTGAATGTCTTCAGCTCACAGATCAATACAGGCTTAATCCCAGGCCCCATAGCCATCCCTTCTGGTGTTTAGTCAACTCGCTTCCCTACGCAATGTGAAAAAAAACATCCCTCCTTCCCTTGCAGTGAACATAATCATACCAGAAAAGATTAAATATCTACATCAGTTTATTAAATTCATAGGCTTTGGTACATCATAGCAAATCAGCTGCAGACAGCAAAGCAAAGCATCCTGTTGTAATAGGAGCAGTCAGGCACAGCAGAGATGTTTTCACCCCTTCGTACAGGGATTCAGCCATTTGCCACTATCACCTACGACAGCCAAATAGAAGTAGCTTCCTGATGTCACTTGAGCAGCAGCAGACACAGCATCCTGCCACTCAATTTACATGCTGATGGTTTTTAATGGCACCTAATCTTTTTATGGAGTACACACTCAGCAGCAGAATTCCTAAACACCTTGACATACTTTAAGAGGAAGCTATCCCTTCTAATAGCCCTAGCAGGGGAAAAGTCAAAAGTATGTTGTTCAGCTGGTTGGCCCTGAAGCCAAGACAACATCATTTGTTGGCTCATGCCATCCTGGGAGTTATTCATCCCATCCAAAGCTTTTGACATGGAAATCTTCTTGTCCAGCCAGCACAACTGGGTAGACTGATGCATTCTCCCTCATCTACGGCTGCTTAGTGAAGAGTTTAATTTTATGCTTCTGGACTACGGAAATACACTCCTGCAGGTTTTAGAAGCAGAGCCCTGCCTTGTTCTTGTTGAAGTTACTGCAAGCTAAAGGAATAGTCAAGCCCCTGGCTCAATTTGTACTCTCTCAGTTTCAACAGCAATGAGAAAGTATGCTGCCAAACCTCTACCCTCAGGCTCTGCAATTGGTGTGATCTGCTGCGGGACCAAATGCCCTTTTTTATTCCTGAGGCATTTAACTTGCCTCAAGAAACTCACAAAAAATTCCATTTAGTTTCTTAATTCAGGTAAAGGTATTTGATATATGTTCAATATTTGGAGTTCAAATATTTCTGCTCCACACTTTCAGATACAGATGCAATCAAGAGCTTTAAGATTAAAGATTAACACAACCTCAGAAGTTAGTTGCCTTTATTTTCTCCTGATTAGGATCATCAGCAATGTTCTGAAGAACTCAGTCTAGCAATCAAACTTGCTAATTGCTTTCAACAAGTTTTCCCTGGCATCTCAGGTCTGGAGATGAGAACCTACATCCTGCTGTAAGCATCGTACAACAGAGAACAGGACAGCCTTCTGCTCACACCTCCACCCCTGAGTACACAGAAAACATTGAGAGCAGCACAGCTCAATCTCACATGCTGTGCCTCTATCCCATTGGGTCCTTACCTTTCCCTTGGATATCTGTAATCACCTCTGCTGTTCTCTTCAACCTTACTAGCTGACAACAGTTTTTTTAGTCCAGATATTTTGGTTAGGGACTGGCGAGTATCAACTTTTATATTCAATTCAAAATAAAATTCCAGGACTAGCTTTCTGGGTTGTTTGTTTTTGTTTGTTTGTTGTTTTAAATAAAATTTTATGGAACTAACAATTCAAGTATTTGATTTTTGAGACTGTTCCAATTTCCTGTCACCTGCAGTTTGACACCTCCTTGTACAGAATACTGCACCCTGTCAGCACGGAAAGACATTAAACTACCAAATTAATGCAAGAGCATGTTAATATTTATGCCTTTACCCAAGTAATACGTTATAAAACTACACCAATTATACAACTGGTTACTAATAAGTCAATAACTGACCTCTTCCATTACAGCCTTCTATGTTAACTGTGATATTATATGTGCATATAGATAGATATACACACTCACATTAACAAAAGACCACACTGATAGCTTGACAAAACCTGAGATTTTTATGAGACTTTCATAGGATTTCAGGAAACTGATATTGCCCTGCTGTATTCTGAAGTTATTAATAACAAACACCCTTCTTAACATTACTCTTCTTGTGTGAATCCTTCCCTGTAATTCACTGTGTTTAAAGATCCTCTCGTGGTGATGCCTACTGGAAATACAGTAATATTCCCTCTGATACCAGAAAAATCAAATCTACACCAGGGCTCTCAAAATAAAACAAAGCGAAGCACTGTACTAGCACCAATAAGGGTTTAAATAGCTGTCCAGGTTTGGGGTAAATAGAGCTGGTTCTGCTTAATGATTTTACTTTTTAGCTAAAGCTCTTCTAATTAACTGCTCTGTCCAAAGTTAGTGTTTTCATAAACTGTCTGGCTTCAGCAGTGATAAGACTTCATGTTTGGAGTTACTGCCAGGGACTGGTATGCAGAACAAGGCCACTGCTGAGCTTGGATCCCACACGGAGTGGGGCAGAGAGCACCCTGCACCCGCAGGGAGGAGTGGGCAGGAGAACCGACCCCAAGATTCACCAGTGGGGTGTTCCATCACATGGCCCTCGTAGCCAGTGAAGCTGAAGGATCAGGAGGGACAAGCCCTTCCTTCCGGGCTCTCTCTGCTGCCTGCTGCTGCTGGGCTGCTGGCTGCTCCTGCTGCAGTGGCTGCATCCGAGGAGGACTTCCTCCACCCTGCCTTTGGTCCTGAGCCCTGTGCTCCTGAGCCCTGTGCTCCTGAACTGAGTTCCAGAATCCAGCTCCTGTACCCAGACATGTCTGTAACCAAGTCCAGCCTGGGACCCTCTCCCCGGGGGCTGCTCCCCAGCCGGGGGTGATGGTGACGTGTTGCCATCTGGGGGGAGCTGGGTTCAGGACTCACTTTGTGTATATTTGCACATAGTCTGTTTTACTATCATTATTACTATTATTAT